CGCGCGGCTAACAGCGCCTAATTTGAACGCGCCCTAAAACTAGTCGATTTGAAGTGAAACAATTGACGACATTCGTCAATTGTTTCGAATTCGGGCTGCCCAATCGGAGCGCAGTTTGATTTGGCAGAATAGTTTTCAAACAAATTAAATGACATTTCGTCTCTATTACTGGTTATATACTTGATGGCGTGCATATTAAACCAGGTACTTCAGGGTTGACTGTTAAGTTGGCAACAAAAAAGAAGAAGTAATATTTATTTATTGAATATCACAATATTATGATTTTCATATATTTTTTTGTAAAAATACTCCACTGGGTTGTTATTATTATTGATTGAAAGTTCGAAAGCAAAGAAAAATTCCTAAGATTTGCTTGGACCCGAACCAGGGGTGTACTCTCGTTCTCTGTCCAAAGTCCGATTGAAACAATTACTGTCAAATAAGTAATACTCGACCTAGTTAAGACAGTCAAATCAAGTACGAAGCTTCATTCGCATCATGCGTTTTTTAATTTGGTCGAGTGTCCGTTGCCGTGTCGGGGCCAGCGTCCTTAACCAATCGACCGAATTGGCAGACTTTACGAATTACGTGTTTGTTATGGATCTTTGTATTGGGTTTTGTAAACGGGGTTTTTTCCGTCTGCGCACCTGTGAGAAATTTAAGTTATACACTTAGCTATGACTATGATTAGGTTTATAACGGACCCGCTTTCATATTCATATCTTTATTGCCTGCCACATGGTTTAACATAAGATGTTATAAAATATAATACAGTAGTCGCACATGTGACACCCTGCAAGGTAGCCGCAATTCAGGAGAGCACTAGAAAGAACTTTCAAGCAGCAGCTGCAAGAGTATCTTTTAAATGTGCAGAAATTGGAAATATGAGTGGCTAAAATGTTTAAGAAAGAATAAATAAATAAATTGGATGAAATTAAATTAGATTGAATTGAATTAAATTGAATTGGTTACAATTTTAATTGACTTAAATTGGTTTTGTTTTGGGTTCTTACGTGGCGTCCCTGTCCTATAGGGTCCTGGCAGAATACCAGCGTCGCGGGCAGCCGCGTCATTTATGCTGAGTCAGCGCCTTTTCATTGCTATAACTTCCAAGGGAGATATTAGTAGAATATATTAATGTGTTACGTCTAAGTTAATGTCTGTATCATGTGTCTGTGTATGTATTTGTCATGGTGGTGAATAAAGATTACATCTGTATATCTATCTATCACTACAAATTATTCATTGCAAATATAAATATCTCTTCAAATTATGAATGATAACTATTTTCTTATAACATAAAATCAAGTAACATTTAAGTATTTATTATTTATGAGCTAATCTATTTAATGACTAGGAAAAAGGAACTTGACTTTTATTAAATATTTCGTCTAATTTATAAAATGCGTTATTGAAAAGTTACGTTTTTAGATTAGCAAGGGCAATAAATGTCAATAGTTTTTTTTTTGCTTTTTATCTCATTTGGTATGCTTTTATAAATTTGAATTGCCGTTGCATGTGAGAGTGTCTGCACAGACTGAGAGTACTTGCAGGAAGTTCTAATTTATATAAGTTTCTATTGTTTCTTTTTTACTGTTGTATTTGGACAATATAAGTGAATGTGCTTTTTGATTTTCAATATGGCGATTGACGGGCCCGTAAAGAATTCAATCGTTAGAGCAGAGATATTTCATTCATTATTTACGGAGACACCATAGTCATCGATCTGGAATCGCATTAAACCAGTTAGAAAAAAACTTTGTTTATGTAATAAGAGCAAAAAAGAATTGCGTTACGCATCTAAGGTCCAAGTGGAAGCAAAATGCACAACGAGCAAAATAGACGCCCTTATTACATGGTTATACCGTTTTTCTGGCCGACTTAATGTGGTTCCGTGTCGATGTAAATTTGTATCAACTCCACTTTGTTATTATTATGTACTTTTTAATTTTAATTATTGTGATTTAATTTTTCATACCACTTTTAATAATCGTAAATGAGTATCGACATAACATACGAAATCAAGTGTCCTTACAGGGTCGGAATCTGTTATTGAATTTTATTTAACATTTGTGACAATCCACATAAAATAATGAATATGTGTGAATTGCGATAAGTTTGATGACTTGTCTAGCCAAGAACGTCTCCTCTCAATTATTAATACCTAATGTGGTAATTTTAATCGTGTTTTGATGTTGAAATATATTTTTATAAAATTTTTAATACATACATACACCTTACAGATTACACAAAAATTCACGAGAGAAATAAATGTAGGCCATACAAATATTTCTCTCGGCCCGGAAATCGTACCCGGGACCTCTGCAGTCCAGCATGGTAATCGTTTGGACACGGAGGCAGTATATAATTAATAATTAAGTTACAATCATTGTAGTGTCTTTACAGGGTTCATTCAAATTCAAAATAATCTTTATTTCATAGGTAAGCATTATTACACTTGAAATCGTCACAATGGTTAAACTCTACCGCTCATTCGTAAGGCAGATTCCCCTGAGAAGAATGAGCAAGAAACTCTAGGGGTTGCTCTTTGTAAATAACATTTACAATATTTTTTTTTTATTTGAAACATCAGAGATCGAGACTACCTCCATGAGCTAAGCGGGTTACTACCACGGATGTTTGTCATCCAAGTACGCAGAAGTTGTATAATAACCTTTAGTATTAAGTCTTTGTTTCACTATACTTTTAAACCTCGTCATGTGTTGGAATGTGAGACGAGGCCTGTGGCTAGCAGTATAATATGGGCTAATATTATTATTTTTTGGTTGGCAGGGACGCGCGAGGTACACAAATATACGGGGGAGTAACGGACATACAGAAACGACTGGTCGGCCATTTTCTACTCAAAGAACACGACGCACTGTGAACGACCCTGCGCAAAATAACTAGTCTTTAGCTACTCAAAAGGATTAAGGCAGTGATCAGAATTAAGGGAGTTTAGTTACTTAAAGTTTGAACGTTTTAGTAAGGACATACCTATTTCGTGATATGACAAAAAAAAATCCCGTAAATCCATTGACTTACAATTATATGGACGTCGGGTCCGCGCTAAAAAGTGTCCGCACTTGTAAGGCGCTAAAATCGTATACAGAGCGCCAAACTCCGCTTTAGTCTTCATTTGTTCTACTGACAGCGCGATACTGCGATGACATTACAATTTAAATTTCGAATAGGTTGACTTGGGACATTTTTTCGTGGTTTTTGTATTAGACCCGTCGTCCATTTATTTGTAAGTCAATGCGTAAATCCCAAAAATTCATATAACCTTATCAACGTATATGAAATTAGGCAACAAATAAAGTTAATGAAGCCATTATATAAACATAATGGATTAATTGTAATAGTTATAATGCGTACGTAATTTATCCGGATTTACTAAAGTAATTATTCTTTCAAAAGAAGGAATCAAATTGTTAAATAATAGAAACAGCCAATATGAGACAAGTAGTAGTACACAAAAACAAGATAAGACAAGTAGTAGAAACCATTGCCGTTAGCAAATATTGGCTGTCTCTACAGCAGTTACTTTTATCTACAGCGAAATATGCGTGCAATGCGCTTTTGTAAAACATTTACTGAGTAGGCTTATAGTTGTGTTTTCATAGGTGCGTGCGTATGAAAACACAACTATAATATTATTTTTTGACACAATAGATAATAACCTCTCTTTTAAGCACCATATCGAAGCACTAAGCGGTCGAACGCTTTTGCTGATTTTAAAATAATCATGCAAGTTTATTGTGCCGTATGTCAATCAATTGTTACATATTGCATTTGATCTTGGGGTGGTATTGCTAAAACTTCATTACTAATCATTGAGAGAGCCCAGCGAGCGATTTTAAAAGTTTCTACCTTCCGCCCTTTCCTTTGCCCCACTGACCTTCTGTATAAGTCGTGTAAGGTCACTAGTAGTCACTGTAAGGCAATTATTTATTAAGTCCACAGTTCTCAAACAGCACGTTGCACTCCCATATAGTACTGAAAACACTAAAACGGAAAGATATTGCCTGCCCCAAAATTGTATCATCAAAACATGTTTATTTCCAGATGTTTTGTTTCTTGGGCCATTTTTGTACAATAAATTAAACGCCAAATTGGCCATATATCATTTTTGTTACATATAGGTTAAGAAAATTCCACAAGAATTCCTTCAAAACATGTCCTACGATGATATAGATAATAAACTGTCTAATTTAAGCGTATGGGTATATGATTTGCATTTTATTGTTTAGTTATTTTTTTGTTTATAATTTAATAATACCTATATAATTAGTACTTTTTACCTGAAATACAGGATTCTCCTAGTTCAGGTATACGTGTTATATTTTACGTTGATACGCATAATTAGTCGTTAGTTATTCCTTTGTACAATAAGTTATTCAATAAACAATTTATATTATATTATATTATATTAAATAATAATTTATTGCAAATTTCATTAAATAATACGCATATTCAAATATAATCAGTTCCGAGAAGTTCTGGGATTGTAGAAGGGAATGTCCACGTTATTATTTATGTTACTGAAATTTTAGGCTATTTAACTCCCTCGATTCTGATCATTGATAATAAGTGTAGTATATAAGTACGTACAATTTTGTCGCAAAACAACAATTTCACGTTTTATATTTTTTAAACCGTGAAATTGTGGTAGAACGCCAGAGGCGCCTTATTACGACGGAATTTGTACGTTTTTTTAGTAAGTAAAAAAGATATAATCGATAATATGCGTCAAATGTATTGATGCGCTAACACGTACTCGGTTTTGCTGAAAAACAGTTATAGCGATTATATGATAACCAAAGGTCGGAAAAAAGGTCTTCCACATACATAGATAAATGTACAGATATAGCTATTGCATCTGCAGTTTTACTGCATCGTAGGACAAAACTACTAACCTGGGAAGTCGAAGTTGGATGTTAAATTAACTAATGGTGCCTTGTAAAAAATGCAGCTGATAACGAACCTTTTACCGAAGCACAGAATAAAAATGTAACTAGAATGGTCACTCTCCGCCCCTCCCTAGATTTAGATACCACACTGGTCCCGCATATATAAAGTGGAACTAAAATGTATGTGGAACACCTTTTTTCGACTATTGATGATAAAATAGTATAATATGCTATACCGGCCAGTATAGTTCTTGTCATAAACAAAATTTTTGCATTTTGGTAACTTTCGAGACATTTAAAAAGTTTGTCTTTTCCTTTTATGTCAAGTCTGTATTTTCTTTGAAAAATGCAAAGCAAGCTGCAAAGCAATGCAAGCTGATTTTGCTTAACTATAAAAATGAACCTAAATAAGATATTAAAAAAACCGCTTATGGGAGGTTGTACCTATTCTTGATTATGTTAATAACTTAATTTCGCTAAAAGTGTAGATTACGTTGCTTATGATAAAGACGGCGGTATATGTATTATAATATATATATATATATATATATATACACACACATATATATCGCACCCCTTATGGAAGAATGGCACAAGTGGAGTTACGTTCTATATCTAATGGAGCAATAAACATTTTTGACGTAACTCCACTTATGCCATTCTTCCATGAGGTGTGCGATATTATATATTTCCGGACACGTAATTCAAGCCACCGCGCATTTTCAGTATTAAGTGCTCTAAGCTTGAACAATGTTTGATTGATCAAAAACTATTATGCAATTTTGAAACTAGTACACTAAACGTCTTTTCCATAAGTCCTTATTGGGAATTTAGATTTGCAAATCCGGTGAAAACTTTTTCTTCGGTGATAACACTATTCTAGCCCTTTACGACAAAAATGCGAGGTGATTCGAATGTCCAGGAATACTCCCGGACACGTAATAAACTTTCTAATATACATTAGAACGACAGGTAGAGCCACAAGACACAAGAGACTGAAGCTCGTATTAATAAAATCATCAGAAGTACATAATTGAATTGTGTAACCTTAAATTTTGTTGTCCTGATGAATAAATATCACTGCAGTACACGTTAGCTATTTTCACGATGAATTATTAAATAATTATGTAAATAGGACAACCCTCGATTTTTAAGTAAGCAAGGAATGGTAATGAATTCGGTTTCTTGGCTTTCACTCAAAATTTTTACTTTGGTATGGGAATTCTTTGTTGCATTGATAAATCAGGGACGGCTCAATAAAGCAACGTAAGTTTGATGTTAACGTGTACCTACAATTCGCCCGTTAACCCCGATATCTAGCGTCGTAATGGCACCTTTGTTCTCTATACACCACATTTGTTGATATTAGATCTAAGTTAAGTAAACTATGCTTATTAGTAAGTATCACTAGTTTCAGTCTCAGGGTGACGGGCGCAGTGCAACTGTTATGGACAGGCGTGTAGCTTACCATCAAGCGCACGACTTGTTTGTTCCGTCACTAGGAATTATAAAAAAGAAATCCTTGCTTGTTTCATATCGGCCGTAAAGTTTTCGTTTCTTCCATAAATCATAAACTCCAATATCTCTTGTCCTTATAGATTTTAAGACTTTCGTGGTTATTCACTAAATGATTATCACTAGTATCAGGTTTCTTACCACGGTATGACTTTTTTTTATTCCCGATATTTCGGAACGGTTGCACGCTCCATGGTCACGGGTTGACTCATTGAAATAAAAAGAAGTCATACCGTGGTAAGAAACCTGATACTAGTGATAATCATTCTCTTGTCCTTGTCTGTAAATTCTTATCTCTGCTTTTTCTTTTGTTTTACAAACGAGCGAATTTAACAGACATTCTAAACAATAAAACATATTAAGAGTCGCAAAGCGAAGAATTCGCAGCAATGTAAATTGACTTTAAAGGTATGGCTCAATATCGTGATTAATTCTTAATCAGTCAAAAGGGTCTTGGTTTCTAGATAATATCATCCTAGATGCACGACGTTTACAGTTAATACAAGACAGCTTGAGAAGCATCTCGAAATCTGAGTGATATCTCAGCCGTTACGCACTTAAAAACAACCTTATGATCTGTTAATTAATGCGGGCCTCAATATCTTAAGTCTGACAATACGGCATCTATTTGAAATTAGTCTAGATTTTCACTGCAACGACGGTGATTTTATTACCTTAAGTGCTTACACTAATAATATTAATATATACTGTCTTCCATACTATCGATTTTAAGACTTACGTTGTTATTCACTGAATGATTAAATTAGTTATAGGTTTCTTGTTTAAAGATGATAGAACTTTCGATACATATTAACTAAAGTAACGGATAACTCACGTGTAACTCTATAGCTTTAGGATAAAGTACTGAAGCTATCGAGATTGGTCGTCATTAGAATTTTAATCGGTTTAAACGGTCGGTACTCTCGGTTCGAAAACAGTACTAAGACATTGGTTAGTGTGGATGAGATTTTAGACCGTGAGATGGTTAGTGTATTATGCAATCGTACATATTGCACTGTTAACACCGTCATCAGCCTATCGCAGTCCACTGCTGGACATAGGCCTCCCCCAATGTGCGCCATTTCGCCCGGTCTTCAGCATGTCGCATCCATTTCCCGTCAGCAACCTTTAGCAGGTCGTCACTCCACCTAGGCCCTCCAGTCTGGAGGGAGAGTCCCTACATAACATAAAGATTTCCCCCCGTCAAAAAAAAAAGAAAAAAAAAGAAGGTCGTCACTCCACTTGGCCGGAGGGCGTCCTACACTACGTTTGCCAAGTCGCGGTCTCCACTCTACAACTCGTTTTCCCCATCGGTTATCGGTTCTTCGACAGATATGGCCAGCCCATTGCCACAGCTTGCTTATTGCACGAGGTATGTCGGTGACCTTGGTTCTCTGTCGGATAACCTCATTACGAATTTTATCCTTCAGGGAAACTCCGAGCATAGCCCGTTCCATAGCTCGCTGAGCAACTTTAAATTGGTGGACTAGTCGTATCGTGAGTGTCCACGTCTCGGCTCCGTAAATCAGGCAGGACGCACTGGTTGAAAACCTTTGTTTTCAGACTTTGTGGTATAGGTGACGAGAAGACTCGACGTAGCTTCCCAAACGCTGCCCATCCAAGCTGAATCCTCCTCCTGTCTCCTCGTGTA